AGTCAAACGAACTATTTTCAACGTTTCTGGAACGTTTACAATCGTTCTATAATAGAACCAATATTCGAATTTTATGTTCGAATTTCAACCACTTTCAGCCTCATATCTCCCGCACCCTTATAGCTATCGAGACGCAACCACCCTGATGCACGAATGGAGACTTGGGGCTACTACCACATACAAACACCATTCACGTGCGATGTGTAGTTTTGGCGGAAAAGTGAAATATAGGGACATACATCTCCATTTTTATATGTATATATAGATATAGATTAAGAAAAAATGGGAGCCACACAAATTGCTGCTATGATTAATCTAGTCATTCTGATCAACCTTATATCATAATGATCATCTCACTTCTCCCAAATTCTTGACTACTGTATAGGGATTAGTATACTGTAATCAATAATAAAATTAAATGATAAACTTATTTATTATACTGATTAAAGTTAATTATAAATCTTATACGTGCTTCTGCAAAATAAAATAATTAATTCTTATTTAATTGACAGTCCAGCATATTTTATGATTCACGTGAAAAATCGCAAGAAGAGCTTAAGCAACGTAAGTGTAAATATCGGGTGATCAAAATTAAAGTATCCCTATTCGACGCTGTGTACAAAGATATTTAGCAATACAAATGCAACCGAATTTGGTACGATGGCATTTATGGTTTAAAGCACCAAGCCGTGTGATCTTAATGTATGTAATTTTTGATTATGGAACACTTAAAGTGTGGTTTATCGAGAAAATGTTATAAATTTGACAGCATCACACATTGAGCATTTATATCTTTAGAATACAGCAGTATTACCTGTATCGCTATGGTGCTAAAAGTGCCATAGTGGTGAGTTTTGGTACTAATTGGATTTGTATTTGGACTGCAAATATCTCTATAAAGACAAGAGGAACGCTGTTGATGTGGCAATGGTAACCAGGACCTTAAAGGGAAGGGGCAATGTGCTGTCTCTTCAGGAAGCTGAATAGGGATTCTTCAATTACGGTCACTCACTATTTATAAAACAATAAAATAATATAATTACTATCTAATTATTTGAAATTTACTCTTTCCTTCTAGAGATATTTTTAAAATGCAAGGAAAGATTAAACAGTTATTATCTGACTAAGAATGTAGACATGAGATCTTACGTTTGGGAAGGAAAAGGTTACGACTTTCCACTTAATCAATATTTGATAAAATTTCATTTCAAAAATGCTGATTTATGTGGAAGAAAGAAGAAAGAAACTGTTCAGTTGAAAGACATCTTGACGAAAACGGGACGTCAGATAATTTTAGTTATAGGTGGACCCGGTTTCGGTAAAACAACACTTTGCAAGAAATTAGCTTACGACTGGGCTTCTGAAGAACGTTCAGGATATTTGAAGCACTTCGATATTGTCATTGTAATTAATCTGAATACGCTAAATGATAAAGCCGTGCTGGATGCCATTATAGATACAACACTAGATGAATCAGAGAAAGAGATAGTGACCACGTCGAAGCATAGAAGCAATTTGAATTTTCTGATTATATTAGACGGCTACGATGAAGTTTATAACAAAGATTCCGTTATACAATTTATTACAAACGATTCCCTCCTCATTTCTCGAAATATTACAATTATTATAACGAGTCATCCCCACGCTGTAGGAGATATAAGAGAATATATGGATGAATGTGTATCAATAGAAGGTTTCTCTAAAGAAAATCAGAAAAAATATATTGAAATGTTTAATTTAGCTTTAACTGGAAATAACGAAGAACATGTTAAAAGTCTGTTAAATCTTATAGAAGAGAATCATTCTCTTCTCGGATTAGCTGAATGCCCTTTGTTGCTGCATATGTTGTGTTGCCTACACTGGGAGAGATCAATATTGAAATTGGAAAGAAAAACAGACTTATTTATCTGGTTATTCTCTCATCTTATTTACAGATACATCAGAAAGAAAGAAGGTAATACAATTTTGGAAATTGGTAAACATTTCTTAGGTGAGAATCTGCTGGTTAGATTGGGTAAACTTGCGTGGAATTGTTTATTCTTTAACGAACCATTGGAATCTAGCAAGCTAGAAGAAGAATTTCCCAATAAGGATGAATACGAAGCGATTTTAGGATTTGGTATCTTAACGTATTCCCATTCAACTTTTGAAGGACAAGAAATAACGATTTACGAACCCGTACACAAAGCACTCTTTCAGTTCCTGTCTTCTCTATACATCTCCTCTGACAAGCAATTGACATTAGACTTGTTAGTTAAATCTATTTTCGATAAGAATATATTTTTATTTACGTGTGGATTGATTGACGAATGTGAAATTTTAGATTCGTGGATAGATTATCCACTTTATAATGGATTCGAAGCATCGTTTCTACAAAAAGCTCAGAAAGAAATGAGAAACGAAGACACGTGGAATAAATTCTGTTCTAAAATACATTTGAGATTCTCCGTGTATTCTAATGGGCAATTTTTAGAATTTTTAAATAATTCTAAAGTCAATAAGATATTTCTAACCCTGCCCGAATTATGGTCCGAATACGAAGAGATGAGGGATCATTTAACAAATATCCTCAAAAGTTACAAATGTAATGAAAATTTACAAATTTATGTTTACGTAATGGTAAGCAGCAAATACTCGTTAGCAAATTACTTTTCTGATATTCGAGAACACGCGAAATTAATCATTGATTTATTAACGCGTATAAAAATGGAGAAGTGTGAAATTCTTGTGAACGGTGTGAATTTCTTCGAAATGTACTTTCCTTTTGTTAAAATTTGGAAATTTAATGAAATTTTCGAAGAAGAGGATTCGAAATTTAGTGTCGAAGGGATGGAGAATTGTACTGGATTGAAACTCGAGCAAGGAAATGTATTCTTGATTACCAACGAGCAATATGAAATTCTACAGGAATACATTAATTTCCATCAAAATATTGAAGTTTCAAACAATTAAATGGGAGTAATCAATAACCACATTAAATGCATGATAGGGTCTATTTAATTTTAATCAATTAACCGAACAAACTGAAGTACATTACATTAATATCAATGGGTTGAGATTGAGATGCTTTAAGTCGAAGTCCATCATCTCATAAGATCATGGGCAAAGATCTCAAAGATGGAGGAATGTGGCCATTGTGTAATGTATGATGGACATTTTTAAATTACAATGTTAATCCATGAAAAAAAAAGATAAAAAGGAGAAATTTTGTAGATTAAAAAATTGCTCTACAACGCTGCTATGAATCAATTCGTACTTTTAATTTTTTATTATTTTCAGGAAATAAAACCATTCTGCTCAATTTAATATTGTAAAAAGACTTTTTTTTTAATGTAAGAATTAAATTACCCATATATTTATTGAGAAGTGATGTAATAAATGTATTTTTATGTATATTCGTACACAGTTTTAAGCATTCTACGTACATACTAAAGCATTTTTTATGAATTAATCGTCCTTATAGTAGCGTAACAAGATAGTTAAAGGGGCCCCCTTACCTTTGTAATAAATAAAAGTCAAGTAAACAAGAGAAAGATTTTAATGTAACAAATGTACTAATACACATGTATGTACAGTACTCTAGCGCCATGGAAGAAGATTGTACGCCTCATTCATAGTGAATGTAAGTTTGCACGTTCTAATTCGGACCCCCTGATATCGGTTCTAGTTACGCTACTGAATCCACATAATTATAATATGACAATTATACAATTTAAATATTTTTTCCCCAGACTTTTTCCCTGGAGGCAGTAAGAGGGCCTCTTTGTACTCCTTCTGAGATCTAATACGCCTCCACTATGGAGACCAGATGATGAAGGATATATCTCGCGAAAAATTCCCGAGGTTCTTGACCCGATCTGGAAACCAGGCTTTTCGGAATGGCAGGACAATGCCTCTTCTACCTCGGTCATCCGGAAGTACTACTGTTGGCAAATTGCAATCGTTATTAGAACTTACATTTTTTTATAAAACGCATCCATACCTTCAAAATTAAGCTTTTTCGAGGTCATAGTTCACTTTTGACTGGGTCGAAGTTCATTTCGTTCCTCGTATCAGTTAACTGTAACGGAGATTCAGCAACCCTATGTAGAATAATACCAAACTCCCTTATAAGTATGCTAGGCCATTTGACCAAGAAATCATATTTAAAAGAGCCTAACACTCACTTCCTTCGAAATTAATATAATGAGTGTCTCAAAAAGGTGTACTCGGGGCCTCCACGCAACATACGAAAGACCTTGTATATAATATACATGTATTGAATATAATATATTGTGATTATTATACTGTAATATACTGCATTGTATTCTATATTTCACTCCTCCAGTACGTCGGCAGCATAACTTACAAACAGGACAGTCGAGAGGGGAGCTAGAGATCTTCATTGATCTGGAAGAAAACTTTAGAGGCCCTTCCTGTTTCCACTCTATAAATTAACGTTATTTTTACTAACAAAATAATAAGAACTTTAAAAGAAATTAAAGCCGTTTTTTATTAATTGATAAAGAAACATTCTACGTATTCCATTCGTTCAAACAGTGGCGCGTTATCTTACGTGCAAAATAGGGCAATTGTTTGGGGCCCCTTCTAACAGGAGGCCCCAAACAAATCTTTCTTAAATAAATAAAAAAACATTTCCCCTAATGTCAACTCTGTACGTGGGGCCCCCTAATTCGAATTCGCCAAGGCCCCGCGAGTCTGTAACGCACCATAAACAGAAAATAATAATAATAATAATAATAAATAGTTTAAGTATAATTTATCGATCAGCTCGAACGAAGACGTATTTAAATCGAGTATTTTTACAATTAATTAACAGATTTTAATCGATAAAATATATAATTAATTTATTTTTTTTTTACAAATTAAAAAGAAAACTTATTGATTTTTTGAAGTGTATTTAATTTGCCTCCCGTTCAAGTAATTAAATTTACAAGTAGAAAATTATATATACAGTATAATGAATATTTAATGATTTAAAAATCGATAATATTTCATATTAATTTCGTGCATAAAAAAAGTAACCGCTGTACGGAGGAGACTTTAGTCTGTTGTACACGTATTAAACTGGCGTCACGGTGTGCCTACCGGATACGTTTTTAACGGCCAGCCGGCGGTTGTCATGACAACAGACTGCCGTCTATCCGTTTTGTCGGGTCACCACCAAACGGGTCGGTTCACTTCCACTAAGGGATGCTCTGACTAGATTCTAGCTCCATTTATCCAAAGCTCACGTTTATCGCTAATAATACACATAAAATGGCATTTAGAGACATCAACGAGTGTCTGATAGAAGAAGTGAAAAGGTATCCTTGCTTGTACGATGCCACCCGCGAAGACTATAAGGATATATGTAAGAAGAAGATATCGTGGGAAGCGATATCGAAACGCATGAACATCGAAGGTAAGTCAGAAAAATCCTTAAAAAAAAAAAAAAAAAAAAAAAAACTTAAAAATGCTTTCATCTGTGACAAGGATCACGTTTTGCGTGACCGAGTAAATAAAAAAAAAAAAAAAAAAAAAAAAAAAGTTTTATCTGTTAATGGTGAGGGATGGTCTTTTTTTACTTACGTTATAGAGCAATTTTTAAGAAAAAGATGGGGTAATCTACGTGATCGATACCGAAAAGTAGTGAAAGAAAGGCAACATCCCAACGATCCTACAGCCTGTAAGAAGAAAGTTTGGAAATACAGTAAAATTCTGACGTTTCTAACGTCGTCACTTAACCACGAAAACCTCAAGTATGATCATTCCTCTAGAAACTGATGAGCCACGTCTTGGGATATCCTGGCTTTCACGTTACTCCAAGATGGCCACGATTACTCTAAACAAGAGCCATATTGTCTTTCTTTTAAAATAGAAAGCAATTAATTTATTTATTTATTAATAATATAAACGTTTACGTAGTTTTTCATGCATTATTTCAGGAATTATTTTCCGATTCGGAAAACATCTCAAACGATGGCCACGAATTTGATTCCGCGTTGCGTATTTCATCAAATTACTATAGAGAAAAGATTAAAGTAAAAAAATAATTTATATTCTCTACATAATTCTTTTAACATATGCATGCATACATATGTAATAGTCTAATATTTTATTACAGGAATTTGCAACGAAAGAAATGCATCGCGCTAATAGAAATTCGGCACCGGCATTTTTCGATAGCGTAGAAATTCAGTAAGATAATGTTTTTTTATTTTTAATATTTTAAAACAATATGTCGACCCCTCTATAACACTGTTGATAATTCCGTTTTATATGAATTTCATGTTGTATGAGTCATTTAAATTTTACAAGTACATGTGCCGGGCTGTGAATGGCTCACGTATTTGTAAAATCTAAGTGACTCGTACAGCATGGAATTCATATAAAACGGAATTATCAACAATGTTATAGGGAGGTCGACTGGTATTTAAAGAAACGAAATATTATTTTGTTACAGAAAGTTTTTCAGCCAAATAGGAGAAAGCTCTAGGGTTCCTGCGAGTATGAACAGATCTAATAGTACTGGATTGTTTCAAGGAAACGTTGATAATTATCAGGTATTATGTTTTATTAATTAATTCTTCAATTGTGATGTAGAATTATAAAATACAAAATCATGTAAGATTCGTGCATGGCCTTTAAAAGTTTATACAGTAGACATCCTCTATAACACTGTAGATAATTCCGTGTTATATGAATTCCATGTTGTTGTACGAGTCACTTAAATTTTACAAATACAGTTCACAGCCCGGCACACGTATTTGTAAAATCTAAGTGACTCGTACAACATGGAATTCATATAACACGGAATTATCTACAGTTATAGGGGGGTCTATTGTATTTTAGTGAATTCCGGTTCCAAACACATGCAATTAATACGGAAATGATTTGTGTTTTGTTCATTTTATTCATATCTTTTTATTGTTTACTAGCTGCAATGACCCGCTTCGCTGGGTTTTTATTTCTTCGTACATTTGTATGTAATATAGTTTTTGTTTTTTTATATATAAAAGACTGTTTTTCTAAGTAATCTAGAATCTAGCTGCAAGAACCCGCTTCGCGGAGTTTTTATTNTACATTGTGGCACTTATCATCTTTTCATTGTGGCACTTACCATCTTTTCATTGTGGCACTTACCATCTTTACATTGTGGCACTTATCATCTTTTCATTGTGGCACTTACCATCTTTTCATTGTGGCACTTACCATCTTTACATTGTGGCACTTATCATCTTTTCATTGTGGCACTTACCATCTTTTTATAATGGCACTTATCGTCTTTTATACAGGAACCTTTCAATTATTAAAACAATTGCAACTGAAGAAGATGCGTTCTAACAAGTAAGTGAATTTTTGTACTCATAAATACATCCAGGGTCAGATTTGATCCTGGATTTCCCATGCATTTATATGAATAAAAACAAGTTGATTTGATTTTATCACTCATTTCGTGTTAAATGACTTTTATTGTTAAGAATTCGCCTTTAAATTAATCTTTAACGATATTATTAACAAAAAGTAATCAAATATTAGTGAATTAGTCAATTATAAAGTGTACCTCCTAAACAGAAAAAGTGCCAATGTTTCAATGGTATCTTATTCAACAGAGTGTTCTATCCATAAGAGTTGATGTTTATTCTTTAACAGATGTGGAATAAGGAAGAACAAATTCAAGTTATTTCGATGCAGAAGACTCTCACGAAGTTGCTAAAAAGTTTAACAGACTTTTCCCACTAATCCCCTATAGATCTCGCCTTTTACCTCACACTTTTAACCGTTTTGTCCAACCGGCCGTGAAATATGTTATAGCTTAAGATCACAAATCTAAAATTCGTCCTTAAAGGATCCAAGATCCACCAGTGTTTGAGTGAATTAACCACTGAACACTAGTCGCGAATTCGCGTCTAATCAAGGAAATTGAGTTTTCTAAGTTTTCTTCACGTGTCTAACACCTAAAAATTGACCAGTTTTCCATAAAAACTAATACTGGGAAGCGCTCCTACTTGGCAGATCGTTGTGGTGTTGCACTGCTTTATCCCATTAAATATATAAACGGTAGAATCTTAAAGAAAAGGTGATTTAGAAGCCTTGTGTACACTTGAAGACATATAAACCGAATGATTACTTACTAATTCTTTTGAAGAATATTAATATAATCAAGAGTTATTCAATAAAACTATTTATTAAAGTAACAAAATTTTGAGGGAAAAAATTCACAGAATGACTCTGTCGGTGTATCGGACCCCCCCCCGAAATATCTACAATCAGCTCAGAAGTATGTTAAACCCGTCTCTAGAAATGATTCAGTATAGTTTCTTAACTGCTTTATATCCTCTTCTGGTAGATGTAGCTCAATTAAATCCGGAATATCAGCACACTTGTCTCTCGTATAGGTATAAATTTCGAAAAGAAATAGTAACATTTCATTGGCACGTTCAAATTTCAAACGTACCAATCAAACGTCGCATTCTTTTTTTACCGTTATTTCTTTTGAAATTAACAACTAAACGAAGCGTAAATTATTCCGGAAATAATATTATTTTTGGTATAATGTTACCTTTACGTGCATATTGTTTCATAATAAGTTAATACGAATGCGCTAAAAATACAAGAAACTGTGACATTAAAAACAGGAACGATAATTTAATCACGTGGTCGGCCTTAACTATACTTAATCACTTGACCCAAAAAAAAAATGGATGCGTGAGCCTTCTAGATCAGTCACGTAATGTAATATCGAATTGTTCACGTTCGCAGAAATTAACAATTAAATCAGATAAAAGCACCCGGATTAAACTTTTATACTAATAAATTAATCTTTCGAAATACATAAAAAAATAATTATATGTAAACCATCAGATAAATATTCTTTTATTAATAGAAACATGTCTGGAACATGGTTAAATATAAACATGCAAATCACGTTTATAACCAGAACTGTTAGCAATAAATAAACTACAAAGATGGCTCCGAATACTGATTTGTTAGTTTGATAAATGCATATACAAAAAAATGGATTTTTGGTATGGTTTTAGAGCCATTTCTTTACTTTATTTGTAAAAGAAAAAAAATTAGTAATAATATATTAGCTATTGGAATTTTTGGCATCGCATGAAACGTTGTACCACCAATCACAGATTCCTCTCTTCTGGCTGAAGATGGTTCCTTGAGGACATAAAAAGCTATATCTGTGAGGTTTCCCACCGCCTGGACACATGTGCCATACCTGAAAGAAAATGACATTAGAATTTCTTTGAAATATTTCTAATCTCCCCGATTAAGAGGCCCTTTTTGCATCATGAAATTCGGCCAGGTTTACATTAGCTAAACAAGCTGCTACTTTATGGCTTCCCGTTATGAACCTATAGTTTAGGGCCTCGAATTTTTACATGTATCAGTATTTGGTACATGGGATGAGCCACTAGTGATAAGGCCCGAGTGATTGAATACCGTTGTGGTTTAGATAGATAATCCACTGTAAATGCCCTTTGCTTTAATGTGTAAATGATGTAAATCTTATCGTATTTATGACTAGGAATTTGTGATAATTTTATACTTTTATCAAACACTATAATTTTTCATAGGATGCTCGTTATTTTGAGGGAGCTGGTAACATTTGTCCAACTATATGTAGGCCTATTTCCTTCCTGAACAATATATAAGCATGATTTTCATTAAAACTCACCTCACCAAACCGTAATTGGAACTTCTCATCACATACATCAAATTGTGCCACTGGGTTTACCCCTTCATTCAACACTGTGGTCACTAAGAGAGTCTTTTTCAGCATGCTCATCATAGATTCAATCAGGCCCACAATGGAGATGGCCATAGAAGAAAGATGGAGCTTAATATATACAGGACAGACCGCCCCCGAAAATTTTCTGGTCTTTTTCGACCTCCGGGATTCGATTCCGGGTCCCCCGCAGCGATAAGCTAACGCCTTTGCGACAGCTTATCTCTTTTGCAACGTAGTAATTCATCATGAATAAAGAGTTGGATCAATTTATAGCTACAATGATTCAGTGTTGGATATTTAAAAATACTTCTATAATTTATCATAAGTAATACGTGTCAGGACATCGTTCACCATCCCTCATCCATGTTGATCGACCCGTTATAGGTCAGGTTTATAATGGGCATTAAGTGTGGCCTGTGGCGTATCCTTAATATGTTACTGTCTAGAGCCGAACCTCCGAACAAAGGTCATTTTTTATGTTCCTATCAGTGGCAATTGTTTTGAGGTTTGACTGTATATATGTAGTTCTGGTATGACAATTTTACAAGGTCAATCTGTGACATTCAAGTCTAATTATATAGGAGGAATTTTTGAAATTATATGAAGCAACAGCTGCTCTCATAGACGTGGGGTTTGCAAATGTTTTATTCTCGTTATAGCAGTTTTCTACAAGATATAGATATAAAAATATGATACTTCTGCAAATTAGATCAATTCAGATGGGCTTTTAACTTGCTGTTTATAGTCAAAGCCACTGAAAATATGTAACTAAATTAATAAATACTTGCCTGACATCCTGTTTTTGGATCTGCAAACATGCCGCTTTCCCATCCACAACGGAAACGAGTAGCAGGAACGTGGTTATATGCAGGATAATCCCGTCCTGGTATTCCTTTTCTCCTCATCACGATGCTAAATCGTCTCGTTTTCTTTTGAAACCCTTCGTTAGCTGGAGGCTGCAATAATGTTTAAATTATTAAAAACAGAAAATTGATAAAAATTCCTCCTATATAAATCCATATATAATGACCTTTTTTATCTCCTTTCTTCTAGAAGATGACATCATAAGATTGTAATCCGGAGGAGAAGTTGTGGTAAGATGAATCATGGAAGGTGTAGGGATGAAGCCATCTAAACTGTAAATGGCAGGTCTTGTCGGTTTGGGCATTAATAATTTCGGCAATGGTGTAACGGATGTAGTAATCAATGGTCTGTGAGTGGTCCATATCCTTCTAGAAATTGATCTTCGTGATAAAGGCCAAACCACGGATGGACTTTGAATAATTAGTGAATTTTCTAAAATAGGTTGCACAGTTGTAGTTTGGTTAATGGGATCTTCTTTGGTTAATGGTTTCTTCTGCCACGTTACTAAGAAATTCGAGCTGGGCGAATTTTTTGTCAGTTTGTATACCGAAGCGAATCCTCTATATCTTGAAGTTGCAAGTCGAGGCCATAGTACTGTGGATCTTCTTCTTGAGGCAGATATATTGAAGAAGTCAGAAAAATCAGTTTTTGATGAATTATTAGAAGATGGTAAACTTTTAACCATTACAGACACATTGCTAAGATCATCATCTAAGATTCCAACGCGTTTATTGAAATTACTAACTGTAATTACTTCTGGTGTGGTTAATTCACGCAATTTTGGAGGTAGTATAGGGAATTTTGATCTTCTCCGCGTAAAGTTGAACCTCCTGAATAAACTGCTATCGTCATTAAAACTTCTCTATAAAAGAAATTAACAATTACTTTTAGATATTATAAATCATTAATAAACAAATTAATCTAAAGTTTATGTAGTAGTATATTATAGAACTACTCAAATAAAGAAAAAAAATTCAGACAGCATGCACGGGATCGCCGAAGCCATTTATTTACTTGTCTAACATCCAAATACGGCCCAGTTTCCTATAGAAAGCCAACTCAGGAGGCACCCCTCTTGGTATATGGTTCATACGTGACTTTGCCCCATCCTATCAATCCGAAGGATGAAAATCAATTACACCTGTTTTGGGTGTAAGCCCAGGTTCTTTGGATCGAGTTTGCTACTTAATATCGATTGATTTATTAACAATTAAAGCCTAATTAGACTTAATGAAATTGTTGAAGTTTATTAATCATTCTCTAAAGAATTTGTTTCGTCACATTTTAAATTCGTTGTTCTAACGACATCAACGTAAATAAAAAATAAAAAAAAGCGATACTTTCCTTTATACCAAGCAGCCATCGCCTGTAAACAATGGCAATGATAACCTTTACAAAAAGTATAAATTTACTCACAAATTTCCTTCAATCATTAAAATGTCCTCAAGTAAACAAAATAGGGAAAGATTCTCTTTTAATTAAAAAAAAATTATCAATTTTTTATAAGGAAAATTATCTGCTGAATGAAGTTTTTTTACATCCAATTTTATTATTAATCGTCTCTCCCCTCCATTAAATGTAATTTTTTTTCCAAGTAACCGTAAATATTAATGTGAAACCAGACAAAAGAAAAGACAATGTTACTATCAGCCGTGACTGACTTAAACTATATATTTTTCTTTTTTTTTTAATGCATATTTAAATTCGTTTTCAATCACCTCGATTCGATCGGATGGATTCGAAAACATCTTTCTGCTCGCGTGACGAGGAATTTTCTTCTAAAAAATATACCTTGCAACTAAGTGCAAACAGGTACAGTACGTTGTAGGCACATAGCAAAGTATGACAGACATTATCACTAATGGCCATTGGAGTTCGAAACAAATTAAAAAAACAGCAAAGAATTTGAAGATTTGGTAGATAAATTGCGAGATTTTTATGGACTAATTAAAGATTTTAAAATAGCGATCGCTGTAGACTCTCCAAAAATGTATCTTTAAAGGTCACTGGAGTACAAAACAAATAAAATTCGTGAAGATTTTTGTAAATTATATATTTTTAAATAATTTTTAAGATATATTATTGTAAGAAACATTATATTTTATGCCGAGCAACGTACCTGATCATCCGCTCCCATTGTGGGCTTGGCTGAATTCGTGATGGGTATGATTAAAAAATAGCAGGAAGATTTTAAATTGAATGGATAAATTATTATAAAAGATGATAATTCTTTAAAATTTGCTGTATTTATAATGATTCTTACCATCGAAATATAATTTTTTGGAATATTTATACTACTCAAGAGTCTAGGATGAAGAAAGGAAAGTAAGAGAAGAAGACTTCTAGAAGATCTTCTAAACCGTATTGCAGTAATAAATGTAGAAGATTCCTCATTCTTATTTGATCTAAATATAACTTGTTTTGTATCAGATCATAATTTTAATCATAAAAATTTGAAAATGGTAGCCATATTCCTTATACGATCAATGCTGTATATATAGAAAGTAACGGTACTTTTAACAATGAGGATGAAGAAAGAAGCAGTTACTGATGTAAAAATATAATTAAAAATGAATAAATTAATTTAAATATTAGCTAATTTATTCAGGTAAGGAATGGTTATTAAAATAACTTCATAACTATGATAATATAATCAATTGGTTGGATGATTTTCTCTCTTCGCTTCTATCAATTTTTCGCTCAACTAAGCATCATCCGAATTTACATAATGGCTTACTAAACGTTCTAATTGTTTCTAAAATAATATACATATATATTTTTTAAAGTTTTGTATTGATTGTCGAATATCTATCTAACTTCAAAAATAATAATAATTGGATTCAGAATAAGGCCTCAGTCTATAAATATAAGAAGATAATACACATTGATATCGATTGCGATGATTTTAACGCGTTAGTAAGGAAGTTAACTATGTAAATGAGAGGTAGGAACACAATAGAAAGGACCTTTTTTTGGAAGTACACCTCAAAACCATTTCCGCTCTATTTGATGGTGTGTTTATTCCGCACGCGACTCTATATCATACAATGTATAAATATTAAAATAAAAAAAAACTAACAATTGCCTTCACTATCCCATCTCAATTGGTCATCGTATCGATAATTAGACCATGACTAATGGAAATGACCGAATGATAGTTAGTGATTTAGCATACACGTGGATAGCACATTGTTACTACAGTTTGATTTCTTATCGATTCATCGATACCGATCTTCCTTACATAACTTTCAATGCCAAGAAGATCGAGCTGCGATTACGATGCAAGACAAATTATCGCATCTTCACTTACATCCGTTAATGAGCAATCAGATAATCTTATACTTGTTTATTAATTAATTCTCGTGTTTGAAACGGTGACATAGATTATTCCCGTGTTTAAAAGTAGTAACTTCATGTTTACTGATGGTACTCAAACACTCCGTGAAGATGACCTTGTGATCTAAAATTATATTCGGCTCTCTAAACGACTAATCCTTATAAATGCCTTAGGGATGACCTCGAATCTTTATACGAAAACATTCGCACGCTCTCGAAAGGATGTGGTCCCGCATGGTTAGTAGGGACAATATAGCTGTTTGGAACTTCAGTATATTTATATGTAATTTTTATGTCCTTTAATATACGAATTATTCTAATTTTGGAGACAATTTAAGCGTGGGAATAAAAATGTCGAGGTCTTAAAAGATTACGGAAGGAAAGTTACAAATCTATATATACACAGAGTTTCCTAGTTTGTGTTTTCCCACGCATTCACCTTCTTTTTTTTCTATAGATTAGGGGTAATCTGTAACGAATTTTCAGTTCTATGTTTTAACAGTAGTAGTCTGTTTGTTCATCCGTTTTAAACTTTCACAAATCACTAACTCTTCCTATAGAGCCTATATGAGTAATGTGTAATAAAAAAATTGAGTGCAAGTTTTTTTTTTTTAATGTATAAAGATCTCTGGTTCAATTGGAGAAAATTTTGTACCAATAAAATGTTAATTCTCCAATAAATCTTCCCTAAATACTTTTCTCTAAACAATCAAATCTCTCAATCTACATGGAGAAAACCCACTGAAATATTCAAGGCATTTAAATATCATTTCCTACCAGTACATTTTGTACACAGGACCTGATTTAAATTCGTTGTAGCCTTAAATTATATAAAAGACCCTTTCCCTCCACAAAATAGTAATATATAAATTCACAGAACAGGACTTGCATAAGCTGCTTAGGGCCTCACATTTATATATTTACCATTATTTAGTGAAGAGGAATGACTCGTAGTATGTTATATCTAAAGACCCTGATAATTCATAACAATTTTTTTCTGTAATAAAAACGATGTTATGCTTTAAATTTACCATATTCCTTCTATACATAATGAAGTCAGTCCCCTTTACAATATCGCTTTTCTGTGTTATAAGTAGCCCTACATACATAATATTGGATCCCAAATATATAATTTCTCAAATTAGATCGATTTCTCACGCAGGAAATGAATACTTAACAGAAAAATTACGAAATTTTCTCACTATTTAAGTGTTTTAACACGTAATTTTCGCAATTGTTGACCGAACGTTTGGGTATGAATTAAAAATCTCTTTTCACTAGTATTCGTCTATTGTCACGAACAAAAGATTAGAAAAACAATTGAGTTAAATCCACTTACCAATTGATTGTTGGCTGTCACGTTGGCAGAATTAATTAATCCTGAAACAGAAGAGAATATCTTTAGAGTCAGTGGCCTGAGAGCTCTGTTTGTTCTAAAACTACGCGTTCTACTTTTCTTAGTCCATTTTATACCCATTAATTCTATATTTGAACTATTTCGAATCTTATACCCTAAAATTTTATTAAATTTAAGGAATAATAACATCCTTACAGTTAATTTTCTATACTTTAACACGTGTGTATATATATATATATATATAACTTTTATAGCATATTTCACAGGATTTTAAGGATTAAAACCCCACAATAATAAGGAAGTAAGGCATAAATATTGTTATATATTAATTATTACATAATATAATAATGTTTTAATAGCTTTTATAAGCATTTTTTTTTATAAGGATTGAAGCATAGTAATAAGGAAATTATATATTGCCACACATTAAATATAATATCCTTATAATTAATTGAGATTTCAATGTTATATTATAACATTTTATAATTAGATTTATATAAGAATTTTAAGGATAGACGTACAGAAATAAAAGACAATAAGATTTATAACATATAAAACACGAGAAAAATAATTCATTGTATTCGTTATAAGTTATTTAATATATAAATGCCTTATTTTCCTTTATTACTGTACATTTATCCTTTAAAATCTTTATAAAAATCTAATAATAAATCTAATATTAAAGCATGAATTAAATATATAAATCTATATTAATAATTGCATTTTTAATATAAAAAAAATTAAGCACGTAGAATATAATTCAATTAAAATTCAGTATAAATAATTTATAAAGGTAGATTAATGATCTATGACTGTGACCATTAGGCTATAAAATGTAAAAGAAATTAGCTTAAAACACATTTTTTTTTACTTAAATCTATAAAATAT